TCCGCCCCTTCTGTTTCAAAGCTCCTGTCTCAGTCTGATGCCTTTAAAATAAAAGTATTGCTTCTAAATTAGCTTTGCCAATCTCTCAAGTAAAATTATGTTTGCAAACGCATTGCTGAGTTTGTAGCCACTAATTTTGGGATAACAACCCAATAAATTAAACTCTTGCGGTAGCATATTGAGTTTCAGGCAGAAAACATGTTTTATAATTCATAGATACTTTATTGATCCCTGTAGGAGAAACTCAGGTGTCCAGTAGCAGCAGAAACACGTCCATCCACACTAGGGCTGGGCAATAAATCGAATTAATCGGCTTTAAAAAAAAATAGAATTTGGAAAAAATTTGAAAATTGTGAAATCGAATGATGGATATTCTGAGGGTTCCAGCAGCACATGAATTATACTTGCAATATCAGCACAGTCTGTACAAGACTTTTTTAATAAGTATTGGGGGAAACAAAATAAAAATGGTTTTGAAACTTGATTATTGAGCGGAAAGAACAAAAAATATTTAAGGGCAAACTTTCATGAAAATCGATTTAAAATCGAAATCGTCCAAAGCAGGAAATAAAATCGAGATTTTGCATTTTTGCCATATCGCCCAGCCCTAATCCACACCAAAACAAATTAAATAGATAATTCTAAAACTAGCTAGGGGCGACAGTAGCTCAGTTGGTAGAGCATTGGCCTTTGGGCCGGAAGGTCGTGGTTTCGAGACCTACTCCAACTGCTCCCACTAATGTCTACTGTCATTGTGTCTTTGGGCAAGACACTTAACCCCATGATGCCTGAAGCCCCCGCTGAAAGAACAAGGCTGTGTCACCGCTGACGGATCACACGCCATCTTCCTGTGAACTCACCACCTGCCGGATTATCAGTGTGGGTCTGGTGCTATGAGCATTGGGTGGCAGCTCTCATTGCCATGTAGCTATGAATGTAGCTAATGATAGTATTGAAATATACAGTAACAGCACTTTAAGTCTCAGCAGCAGAGGTGGTGAAGCCGCTTGAGTCGGACCATTTTCTCTGCTCTGGCCCAAAGTAAAATGCTGAATGCTTTGTTAGCATCTCCAGTGGATCTCTTCTTGATCTGCTTAGTTCGGTCTGTGAATCCTCTCTGCTCTGGATCAGTGTTAAACTATGAACACTGTACACAGTAACATTTACAGGTAGAAAAAAGCAAGAAAAACAACGATTTGTTTAGCACAAAAACAACAGCTGTTTCCGAGCTGCTTAGTTTCTGTTTCCAGCGCATTCAAAAGTAAACATACTTCATACTTATTTAACCATATATTCTACTTATATTAAGGTGTGACATAGGCCAAAAAGACATGCAACTAGTGACCAAACTGATTTGAGTGGGAGGAACTACCGGTAGTGAGATTTTATTTTTTTATTTTTTTATCATAGTTCTGTGTTTTTTGGGGTGAATGTTTAGGACCTAGCTTTTATATTCATATTGAACAATCTATACTCTTGTAACTTTGCCTAAATGCAGTAGGTAGAAGTGATTTTGCCTAATCCAGATTCAACAGTATAACGAACGCATGTGGAAGAGATTGGTGAGTCAATTCGGTGTTAAAGTGGAGTTAATTTTAAATTTGCATAGCCTCTGTTTAAACACTTTGATAAATGTCAAGCTCAGAATATAATTCCAATCACTTGGTGCAATTGCGTGACTGTCAGTCTTTGTACGAGGCTTTGTTTTCATAATCCAAAAATCCTAAATGGGGCTATTATTCAAAGATTTGTGGCTTTTCTCCTGAGTGCTGCCATTGTTTAGTTTCAAACCCTGGGCACAGACAAGACGTTCAGACCTTCACCTGCTCGAGCGCTGATTCTGCTCAAGTGGTGACCAAAAGGCTGTCAACCTCCCAAGTTAATGCTGGAAATAGATGTAGAGGAACAAGAGACGCTTGTTTTACAGACTTTCTGGGAATGAGGAAGTATAAAAAATAGTTATAATTTAGTGAAAATATTATGAAAAGACTCTTCGCATTAGGACTGCTGGCTCTGGTCCTTGTGGGGGGCGAGGAGTCCAGAGCCGCTGGAATGCGTGCCGCTGTCAGGAAGCAGTAAAGTGCTGACGCCGAGGTCAGAGCACGTTTACGCACATGTGGCTTCACTTTCACTTCTGCATTTGGACATTTGTCTGTCTCTCTCCTTCATCTCCACCTTGTGCAGCTCAGGCTTATCTTCCTCCTCCCAGACACCTTGATTTTATTATGAAAGTTTTCCTGACATGTAGACGTCTTATGTAATGCCTCATTACACGTTTAGATTCTGAGGCGGCTTCATTATTTCTATGCTGCACCAATGGCTGCAAAGAATTCTTTGCTGCATACCTTTATGAAATTATGTAAATATAGTGTTTTAAGGAATAGGATTGTGTTCGTAAAATTATATTTTTACATCTCCAAGAAACTGAAAGTGCGCTGCTAATGGTTTGAGCTCTTGTTAGCTTGTGGTAACTTTCTGGTGTGACATTTGTAACAAACTTTTATAAACTCATTATGTGTGAAATGTGATTTCTAAACTGCAAACTGTAATTGTCAGACAAAAAAGGCTTTCAACTTTTCTGTCATATCCTACTTTTCAGATTCAGATTCATTTATTTGCCATTTTCAGTAAAACCACATTGGAAAAACTGTGCAAGACTACCTCAGTGTGCACCAGGACGACACACACCAGAGCTCTTGCCACGGCGCCATGCGAACAATTAACATTTAAAACTAAATTAAAATATAATTGACAAGGGCTACACCTCTCTGCTACTGTGACCTGAAGTGCTGTAGCATATTTATTACTTTTGTTAGCTATTATTAGAATTATCTATGTATTTGTTTTGTTTGTATGGATGGATGTGTTTCTTCTGCTACTGGACACCTGAAATTCTCCTACGTGGATCAATAAAGTATCTTTTTATCTGTCTATCTATCTATGTTGTTGTGTTGGCTGCTCACTGGGATATTTCAGTTGCTGTATTAGAAAAGCAAAGTGTGCATTCAAACCGATGGAGGTTAATGACATGAAGGAGGAGGTCACCACTGCACGGCTTTGACTGATGGAACTAGAATAGACAGTTGTGCAGGAACACGGTTTGACTCAATCCCGATGCATGTTTCTGATGTGGGAAACATAAGCCTTTCTATAAGCGCTGTTGTTGCTTTAGCTGCAAACATCAACTCCTTGACATTTTGCCAACATGCACAATCTCGCCTAGAAGACTTATTATTCATTCTGCAAGTCAACAGATTGTTGTATTTCTTCCAAAGACAACCTACTGTAGAACAACAACGTGATCCAAAATGTTACGCTGCAGGTAATGGACACAAAACGCCATTTCCTGAAGTTGATTGAGGACCCTCTTCTCGACGTTCCATGCGATCCAACAGAAGATTGATGCTGCTGGCCTCTTTGGCAGGATTTACTGTTTTCAGCGGCTGTAAACGTTGACCATCTGGTGCACAAATAACCTGGACATTGTCATCTACACCTTTAGGCTTGAGACCAATGCAGAATATCACCAAAAGTTGCATCGGAATGGGTTAGGGTTTGAAGATTAATCAAATATGACATTTCCAAAGAAACAGTTAGTCATTCGCAAATATTTCAGTTCTTGCCTGGTTTTTCTGTAGGTTTTTGATGTTTATCTGCCCACTAAATAAGCGTTTTCAATGAGATGGTCAAGATTTTGTGTTTTAATGACATATTTGTAATCCTTAAGTCGTTCTTTGAGTTTTAATTGTTTCAAAAAACGATGAAAACAGTTTTTGTGTTGATCAATATGGAGAGAGTGTTCAAAGGTTTGGTTCTGAGCTGTGACGGTTTAACTGTATATCACTGTATACTGTATGTCTCTCTCTGTAAAGCCGCACTTTCTTGCAATGACGCACAAGTTTCTAATGTATTTTTTACACTTAAATCCTTTGAATGAAAATTCTCTGACCTCGATTAGCTTCCAGAACTGATTTCAAGAGAAACATCCCAAGGCTACCGCTCGGCTAATGAGAAACCCAGGAGAGAATGTAAACATCACATTTCTCACATTTTTGACATGCTGTAGAGGTTAGCAAAAAGACATAAGTTATATGAGAAATGTGAAATGCCATCCGTCTCATCAATCCCACTCCTGATTTCTTGTGCTGTGTTTGGTCTGGGCTGCTCTTGTTGTGGGCCAGCTTCAGTCTGGGCCCCAGGACCAGACTACAGTCCAGTCTGTCATACTCAGATCCAGACTCTTGCTCTCGCCTTCACATTCCTCACAGCGCCCAATAAACCCCACACACGTCTCCATTTCAGCTGAGTTTTCCAACTTTGCCGTGTGTTTATATGGACCGATAGTGGAGTGAGGGGAATCTGAGTGTTCCTTGGATGTGGCCTGTGGGGATGCAGCGTCTCATGTTGTTACATGACATTTATTTGCAGGATTATATCACACATTAACTTCCCTTTGGTTTAAAAATGCATTCAAGCTATGCATTGATAAATCTCTAGTCAGTCTTACATTTATTTAGCGGCCAGTCCGACCTAGCGTCCTTTATACTTTTGAGAAGAAAGTATTTTAGTTTCATGGGGAATTTTATTTTCTTTCTTTCTTTTATAAACATACAAATCATGCAGCATCCAAAAATGTACTGTGAATATATATATATATATAAAATTAATATATTATTGTGAATTATATTATATAAATAGTGTGTGTATGTATATATATATATATATATATATATATATATTTTTTTTTTTTTTTTTTTTTCCCAATTCATTTTTAATCATTGATTTGCAGGGTTTTAATTACCAAAATATTTGTATGTTATATATTTATAATGTAATAGTTATATCCCCTATTAACAGTCACCTAAAACATACTTGGGAGTTCTTCTTGATCTCATTGTTTACCACCTCCTCAGTTCCTTGTGGTGTTTGCCATACTGTGTGTGTGTGTGTGTTTTAATACAGAAGACAAACATTTCTAATATCTCTCTTGTTTCTCTCAGCACTTTCAGACTATGCTCAAGACCAAGCTAAATGTGCTGACGCTGAGGAAGGACCCACTGCCCACAGTGATCTTTCACGAACCCGAGGCCATCGAGTTGTGCTCCACCACGCCAGTCGCCAAGAGCCGGAGCCATACTGGATACAAGGTGTGGTCACGTGAGCCCGAATACAAACATCTGTTGAATAGGAGTGTGACGATATATTGATATTAGGGGTGGGAACCTAAGGGTACCTCACGATACGATACGATACACGATACAAAGCTCACGATGACGATATTATCACGATAACGATATTATCACGATCACGATAATGATTATCAATATATTGGTCAGAAATATACAATATGCCAATTTATGGCATAAATAAAAGAAAAAATACACTCCATTTCATGATAAATGAAATGGAGATGCGTAATGTAGCCATATAGTACGTTTTTTTTATGTATAAAAAAAACAAAAACTATCGATACTTGGCAAATGCATATCAATAATCGAATCGCGGGTTGAAAGTATCGATATATCGTCACATCCCTAATTGATATGGTTATGTATCGTGATACTTTCTCACGCGATTGATTATCGGAATCAGAATCATTTTTATTGCCACGTAAGTAACAAGGTTACCACTTGGAAATTGTTTTGGCAGATAGCATGCCACTTCGCCATTTGCGGCGCTGTGTGCAGCAAGAAACAGCAGAGAGCTGTTATTGATATGCTTTTGCCAATTTTCCTTTTATAAAAAAAATAAATTGGTATCAATACGTAACAATGGCTACATTTAGCAATAGCGTAATAATCTGCTTTGACCTGAACATATTGTTCTATGACCCAGATATTGCCAAAGAAACACGTCTCCATCTATCAGCTGCTGCCAACAGACCATATGTGCTGTATTTGAATCCAGAGTTGAGAATTAGTTAATAACTTACACTTAGAACTATTTATTCAGATTGCTTTACTAAAAGATTTCTATAACAGTATTTCAGTATTTCTGACCAATGTATTGAAAATCGTCATAAGGCGATATGATCGTTATCGTGAGCTTTGTATCGCGAATCGTATCGTATGGTTAGGTACCGTGAGATTCTCAGAACTGAAAATGCAAAACTGGTGTGCGTGTATGTGTCAGGTACAGTTTGAGCCAATGAGCTGTGGTGTTTCTCTTTGTCCTCATTAGATAATGTATTGTATTTGACATATAGATGGCTGTTCTGATGTCCCTGCAGGTCGGAGGGACATGGCTGCTCTTCCACTAATGCTATCTCTATATCTCCTTTAATTCAAGTCGATATTTGCATTTAGGGAAATATTTACTCTATTCATGGCTGTGTTTTTAGAATAGAATAGAATAGAATAGATCTTTTATTGTCTGTTCAAAATGAGCAGAGATTTGTCTTACAACACGGCACAATTAAAATAATTTATAAAACACATTTAAAATACATTTATCAAACAGTTAATAATTTATGCAGTGCTACCGGTTGTTAGTTGGTAGTTATTACAGATGTGTTGAGAATGCTAAAATAAAAGTATTACTGGTGATGGTTATGCCAAGGAGAGGAACTGCTTTAAATATATTTTTTATAAAAAATACTTGATACTACAGGGTCTTGTAACCAAAAATATGTGTTTCTATACAAAGGAAATGCAATTGAAGTTGCAGATGCAAATTAAAAGCCTGATTCTGCCAAAACAGATTCTCTCTCGTTAGATATTTACTACTTTACATTTTATAAAAAATGTTTTCTATTTATTTATTGACTTTGTATTTTGCCAGGAAAGTCACAGTTTTAGAATTACCATAGTTTATTATGAAGACATTGGTGTTCATCACTCACAGGCTGGAGTACTGTGAAACATGGAGAAGAGCAAAATATGGGACCTTTGAATAATATAACATCTCATTGGATACTAATTGACATAGCCTTGAAAGTGAAATATTTATTTAGTATTTGTTGATGTCTACACCATTTGTATTCATCTTCATCACCATCAATTCTAAATCATTCTAAATCAGCTCTGACCGGTGCGCTGCAAAGCTGTGTGGTGAAATGTTTACACAATTGCCAAGAAAAGTGTCCAAGAACACTCAGTCCCCACGCTTGTTGTGGGTAGTAGTACAAAGTAGAAACTATGAATCACTGATGAACTGGAGCACAATGTGGTCTGAGGGAGTTGACCTGGTCTCAGTCTGTAGTGAAGAAATGTCACGTCCGCATCAAGCGAAACTCCAGAAGCAGAACGTCCTCTTCGTAAGTTAGAAACAAAGGATTATGAGAGTCACATGTCGTGTTAGAACAGGCATGTCCAAACCAAGGCCCACGTGCCAATTGCGGCCCACTGTGTCATGTTATGTGGCCCTGTGCTTTCCTAACCTAAAGTTGTCTTTGAGATCATAAAGACCAGTTCACAGTTTCGTCCAGCCAACTTCAGCTTAGTCCGTATAGGCATGTTGTACTTAGTTGTAAAGCTTAGAACCTCTAGAATTCTGCTGTTGGATTTATTTGTAAATAGTGACATTTGTTTTGGGTAATGACCGAAAGAACGAGATCGCGGATACAAGCGGTCGAAATTATGAGTTTCCTCTGCGGAGTGGCTGCTCCCTTAGAGATAGGGTGAGGAGCTCAGTCACACGGGAGGAGCTCAGAGTACAGCCGCTGCTGCTCCATGTCGAGAGGAACCAGTTGAGGCACGTCCCACCGGGAGGAGACCCCGGTGAGGACCCAGGACACGCTAGAGGGACTATTGCCGTTTTTCCACAGTCCGAGTACGGTACGTTTTGACTCTACACGGCGCGCCATGGCCCAGTTTGCGTGCTTTTCCATCAAAAATAGTACCCCCAGTATGTCCTCAGCGTTGTCAGACCACGTCATTTACGTGTGACGCGTAACTAGTACTGGTGCGGTGCATGGATTTATTATAATATCAGAGCAAGTGTTTAATAGAAAATTCAGCACAGCACGAGTAGTTTTTGAAAATGCTTATGTCTTAAAAGAATAACTCGGAAACTGTGAAGTCAATGGTGCTGACTGCTCTGTACAATCTGAATGGGACATACCTGTAGCAACAGCAGCCTGTGTAGCAGAGGAGGAGAGCTGCATGTCCGAGGATACTGCTAGGCTATAGCTAATGCTAGCGCTAGCTCGAGACTCTGCTCACTCACTAACCCTGGATTCCAAAGCTACAACAATACTACACTTAACACATCTATCACTGCCATCAGAGGAGGATCCAGGGTTTAAACTCGTCATATGGCAACTCGAGCAGTAAAGGACCGAGGGAGAGACAGCGGCAGCCATAGGGGTAGCGAGTTAGCGGCTAGGCTAGGCTAGTCCGGACTTGGGTCTTGACTACAGCAAACTCCGAGACCAGACAAACAATCGATACCCAAACCTCAGCTACAATAATAATAAATGAATGAAACACAGTCTTGGGATACAATCACAGATTTATTGAAAACAAAAGTAAAGTGCAAAACCAACAGTTTACAAAGTCAAAAGCACGTGTGTCTGAGACCAGATCCAGACCAGATCCAGACCAGATCCAGACCAGATCCAGACCAGATCCAGACCAGATCCAGACCAGATCCAGACCAGGTCCAGACCAGGTCCAGATGAGGAGAATACTCCGGTCACTCATTAATCGTTGGTAATCTCCACACTTATGGGAAGGGATTCTCAAACAAAAAGACACACGACAACTTAAATACAAGCACAAAACAGAATGACAACACGTGAATACTGCAGATAATATGAGATAAAGCACAGTAGCACAGGGAGGACGTTCGCTTAGCTGCTATCGATAGCTAAGTGAAGCTAATTGTAGCTAGTTCACTGTGTACAACATACAATCGAACATTTACACAGTAAATACATTTCAGTGAGAGATTTGGGCCAACGGAATTCGTAGCTAACCAGTTATTTCCAGGATTACCACAGACTAGTCACAAATCCAGAGCAATCTCCCTGAAAACCTCGTGAAACCTCCGTGTTGAGCCTCGAGCTGCCTTTGAATTCTTTCTTTGGCCTGAAGAGAGGAACGTGTGGACCTCTTCCACCGACCAGGACCAGGACTTTTGGGGCTTTCTGTGCAATTCCATTTCTCTGGAGTGAGGAGGACGTAATGTAGCTGAAGCAGAGCCGAGCAGAGCAGCCGGTTTTAAAGATGGCGGTTGAGTTGTTTTTCCCAAAGGGTCAGATGTCGCTTCCAGTGACGACACTCGTTGACCAATCAGTGTAAGGCAGTGGGCCGACGTGACGTCATGGCACAGGTACTATGGGGATGGAACCACGGCTGAGGCAGTACGGAAAAGTACGCAAATCTCCCATACCATCCACTAGTGGAAACGCAAAATAACCGCGCTGAAGCGTACTGTACTGTACCGTACTGATACTGTGGAAAAGCGGCATAAGTCTCTCAGCTGGCCTGGGAACGTCTTGGGGTCCCGCCGGACGAGCTGGAGGAAGTGTGTGTGGATAGGGAAGTCTGGACGTCTCTGCTTAGACTGCTGCCTCCCCGACCTTGCAACGGATGAAGCGGAAGAAAATGGACATTTGTTTTTGATTGTGTCACAAAAATGGCGCTTCAGCCTTCTTCAGATCTGCTATAGAGCTAATTTTAAAACTCAATCCGGTGTGTGAGCCCTTGGACAAGTCTGGTGAACTAAAGTGGCCCTCCTACTAAAATGTTAGAATTGTGTTAGAACTACAAATTGATATAAAACATACAGTGCTTGGTAGGCATAAACATAATCAAGCATTTGCAGCTTGAGGTCATGACCAGTTTAGTTAAAGCAACACCATGTAACTTTCTTTTGGTGGTACGGTACAACACCAATGATTACAAGCTGAAAGATAAAATCATACTTTGGAACATATCTCATTGTTTTTCTGAAGAAACAAAGGGGCAATATGTTCATGTTTAAGAGCAGTTTGTGAAAATGCAAGTCCACAGTGAGGAGTGTTACATACAAACTGATTAAGAAAAACAGTATCTGGGTCTATATTTTGCTCAAGGCCGAAAGCAGCCATTGTTTTTGGGCTGCCTTCATAACAGAAAAATCCTATTCTTGTTTAATCCTATTAAGTGTTTAGCAGTCAACCTTATTATACCTCTTGGATTAGAAAGAGGGTACAACCAGTACA